AAAGAGGCAGAGATATCAGTCACTTTCTCAGCTTTAGTGCACAGAAGGACTTGGTAAAGATGCAGAAAAAAAGACAGTATCTACTTTCTAGAAATAAAGGCCTCTCCATAAACAGAATTTTCTGGTACCTTAATCTTGGCCTTCTAGACCACAACTAGGAGAAAATAAATTTCTGTTGTTTTAGCCACCCAGTCTATGATACTTTGTTATGGCAGCTTTAGCACACTATAATACACCTCTTTTTTTCAAACAATCATCATTACCATCCTAACTTTTCTTGTGTATTAGTTAACCGGTAAAGCAGTTATTCTCATAAGGTCTCAGGAAAAAACAAACCATACTGCCTAGAATGAGTAAGGTAAGATTTAAGCACCTACTAGTAAAATTATGGCTGAAGAACTAGAAATAGGCAGATATATGATATACACATTGATTTTATAGTAAACTCTAAAGAAGTTTAGTATAAAAATCTGATGTAAAATAAAATATCAGCTCAAAGTGTGAACTAATGGCCCTAGCTGGTTTTGTTCAGTGGATAGAGCATTGGCCTGAGGACCGAAGGGTCCCAGGTTCAATTCCAGTCAGGGGCATTAAAAAAAAAAGTGAACTAATATTTTTTGCCATTTTCCAAATTGATTCTAAGCGGTTATATTTGAAATTATTTCAAAGCTATTAGGATGAAGTTTATGAATTATTGTTAGTTATTACCACTGTGAGTAATAAATAAGATTGAGATTACTGTCATGTACTTAAGTGTTTGAGGTTAAGAAGAAAGCTCATATGTAAATATATGAAAATTTTGAACAGGAACTCTTTACCTCTTCCTGAAATTCATCCTTAGTTTCTTTTATGGTTTTCTCTACAGGCCAATTCTTGGAGCTTTCCTCGGAAATTTTCATTTTTAGCATGTTGATAGTTTCTTGGTGTTGTTTCAGAGATTCAAGAGCATTTCGTAATTGTTCTTGGGTATCTATGTTCTTTGTCAGAGAAATACAAAACCATTTCCGTTAGAATAAGGTGAAACAATAAAAATAATTTTATAGTTTCTACTTGATCACAAATAATAAATGATGGCTCCGATAATGTTTTTAAAGATGTTCCAAGTTTTCAACATTTAACCAGTCAAAACCTTACCATGTTTACAGTATCCTCAATGTCACTTTTCAGCTGGTCTCTCTCAACTTGCAAGCTCTCTTGGAGTTGTTTTAAGTCATCCTTTTCTTGGGTTAAGATCCTTACTTCTTCTAAGGTTTGGTGAAGCTTCTCAGTAGTCAGTATTTTCTCCCTTTCTATAGTTTGCAGTCTGGAATCTTTACTTTGTAATTGTTCCTTCAGCTGTTCCACTTCATTTAACCTTTCTTGACTTTGCTGAAGTTCTTGGGTTTTCTGAGAAAGCTTTAAAATAAGACAAAGTGTGAAAAGCAGAACATTCTATAGCGTATATACGGAACCAAACTGCAGCAGACTAAAGATCATTTCTCTAGAGGGTATCTTGTACCAACCTCTGTCTTTAAGTCATCCAAAGTTAAACCAAGTTTTTGAGATTCTTTAGAGAGATTTTCTATTTCCTGATTTATTCTTGTATTCTCTTCAAGGACCATGTCATACTTTTGTTCAAATTCAATATGATAATTTTTAAAAACTTGGAATTCTTGATCCATGTTTTTATAATTCAACTGGGTGGTTGCAAGGTCATCTTTAGTTTTCTTAATTTCTTCAAGTAAATCTTGAATTCTACTCTCCTTATGAACTACTTCAGAACACAATTTGTCTTTTTCTGATGTTATTAGATGTAGCTCTTCAGATTTATCATTTACCTATGAAAAAAAGAATACTTATCATTGTTAATAATGTATGATCTACTGAAATTTTCAGAAAAACAAAAACACAAAAAACTTTTTCTACAAAAAGACACTGAAAATTAAGCAAAGATCTGACCGAGAAAAGGCAATATTTTTTTGTCCCTTTTAACAGTGTATTTTCTTGTTTAACTTTACCATCAAAATAAGAGTTATTTGCTTAAAAATGTGTTTACCTCTTTCCTTAGCATTTCTACTTCTGAAGGTAAAGATTTCAATTCTGAGAGCAAATTAACTTTTTCATGCAAAGTTTCATTTACTTCAACTTGTTTCTTCAGTTCTTTCTGGAGATCTGTAATCTTTCTTTCCAATTCCAAATTACAGAGCAAATCTAGAAAATTTTTGGTAAATTAAATAAATTGTCCCCCAAAATTCTATCCATCACCATACATATTAATATTTCTTGAATCACCTTTTTAAGAACATGTACAATTTTTAACCCTTATGATCTAAAGTCCATGGAAACACTTATACACACTGATACATATAATATTGAAAGTTAATATTAAGTTATTAAAAATCAGAGAATAATGGATTTCCAATCATTAGAATATTGTTGCAAAATCCTTTAGGTACATTTCAACAGAAAGTTAGATTTGCAAAGAGGTAGCCTGAAATTTCAAGATACCTTTTGGAACTTTGCCATCTAAAAGGGAGTTGAGTTTTGTTATTTCATTAAAAGAATATTGTAATTCTTTCTCCAGATCAACTTGTATTTTCTTTTTTGCCTCCAACCGGCTTTGATGTAACTGATTATCACTTTCCATTTGCTTGAACATACTTTCAAGTTCTTTCTATTAAGAGAAACATTGCAAATTTACAAAAATGTACTGATCATTACAAGTGCTCAATTTTGAAAATATTACAAAAATCACCTACCATTTTCTCTTTCAGCTCCAGATTTTCACTTCTAAGAAAGGCTGATTCTCTCTTGGCATCAAGGGCTATAATTTCAGCATCAAGCAGAGTTTGTTTCTTTTGTTTTAGATCGTCACTGTCTTCCTATACACATGACAAAAAAGATTTTAGTGAAATCTAACTTTCTCAGAATTGGAAAACATTAGCACACTTTTGTTCAGCTAGCATGCTAAAGTTCTCTATGTATTTTTATTTTGTTATTTTCTCGAAAACACGATAGGCTAGTAGTTAATAATTAAGATTAAGAATATTAAATTAGCCTTGGCCAGGTGGCTCAGGTGGTTGGAGTGTTGTCCTATACACCAAAAGGTTTTCAGGTTTGATTCCTGGTCAGGGGAAATACCCTGGTTTCGGGTTCGATCTCTGGTTGGGGCGTATGGGAGGCAACAGATAGATGTTTCTTTCTCACATCAATGTTTCTCTGTCCCTGTCTCTCCTCCCCTTCCTCTCTCTAATTAGCCTTGGCCAGGCGGCTCAGGTGGTTGGAGTGTTGTCCTATACACCAAAAGGTTTTCAGGTTTGATTCCTGGTCAGGGGAAATACCCTGGTTTCGGGTTCGATCTCTGGTTGGGGCGTATGGGAGGCAACAGATAGATGTTTCTTTCTCACATCAATGTTTCTCTGTCCCTGTCTCTCCTCCCCTTCCTCTCTCTAAACATATCCTCAGGTGAGGATTATTTAAAAAATTAAATTACCACTTGAAAAGAAAATTACCCAATAAGAAAATAGAGAAAAGATACAAACAGGTAATTTAGTGAAGGGAAAATGCAAATGACCTATAAATATATGAAAAAAAAAATCAGAAGTCATGTTTAGAGAAAAGTGACATTTTAACATGACTTTAGCTTACATAAATTCAACCATATGTAGTTGGAAAATTAATAATGCACCCGTGAATGAATGAAGCATAAGAAATAATTTTTTTGAAAATTGGCAATTCTGCTTGCTACTGTATCAATCCTACTCTCCAGGATTATATGAAAGCACCTTTCTTACCCACAGCTCAGAACAGTGAGAATACTTTTTTAAAATACCAGTATATATATTTTTTATTGATTTCAAAGAGGAAGGGAGGGAGAGATAGAAACAACAATGATGAGAGAGAATCAATGATTGGCTGTCCCTTGCACACCCCACACTGGGGATGGAGCCTGCAATCTGGGTATGTACCCTGACTGGGAATTGAACTGTGACCTCCTGGTTCATAGGTCGACGCTCAACCACTGAGCCATGCAGGCCAGGTGAGAATACTTTTAAAAATAATCATCTGTCATTAATACAGTGGGGCCTTGACTTACGAGTTTAATTCGTTCCGAGACCGAGCTCGTTAAGGAGCTCGTTAACTCAAATTACTCTATCAACTCAATGCAAAAAATCGGCAGAGAGACAGTTGGTATCTCAAAAAACCCGTTAGTTGGGACACTCGTAAGTCAAGGCCCCACTGCAGAAGGTAACAAAGATTACTATGAAAAACTCAAAACAAAACCAATAGAACAGAAACCAAGATTTAAAAAATTCAAGCTAGAAATTGTTAGCTTTCTTGAAGTAGTCAGGTGTATTGATAGCAAATAAATAAAAAAAATCAAAATTTCACCATGTCAATGTTACTTAATACCACAATCTAGTATCAAATAAAGTAATCTAGAACAATATTTTCCGAAAAATACTCAAACTGTTGAAAATATTTACTTAAATTATGAGAATGCATTAATATCAGTGAAATTAATGACATTTATGAAAACATGCTCATTTATGTTTTAGTTCTAGATATTTATCAACAATGTAAGTGCTCATCTGAAGACATTGACTACACACTTCTTTTTTTAAATAAAAAAAAATTTAAAACATTTTTAAATAACTAATTTTTTAATGGAAGTTCATAACCTACTTGTTTATATTCACTCAAAGGATGATATCCTCAACTCTTTATGAATGGTTCCTTATTGGTAAAAATGGCAATGTTCCTAATATAGTCCCTCTCTCATAGGGTTATTGACAAGATTAAATAAAATACTGTATGTAAAACATTACAATGCTCAGCACATAGTTGGCTCAATATAAGCATTTGCTTTAACGATGATGATGAAGATATGCTATAAATATTAACATTATTACATAATAAAATAAACCTGATTTTTACCGATGAGTATGACAAGTCCATTTTCACACTTTCTGAATTCTGAGAGTCTATGTATTTCTGTAACTTTTTAATCTGGTCTTCTTTTTCTCTAAGTAGATCTACTTTTGAACTTAGTTCATTCTAAAAGAAATCAAAGGAGAGTAAAACAATTTAATTCGATTTGAATTCTAGGGTATTACAAGGAACTTATTAACAGTTCAAATTGGTAAACAGTAAAATTCAAAAAGTTGACACTTAAGAAATATAATTTATTTTCTGAAATCATAAATCATATTTAATTATGTATGATTTGTTTTATAGTTCTAGTCCCTTATTAGTAGAAATATGAACATAAATGCTCACCTCAAGGTCTTGATTATACACTTCTGCATGTTTAACTAAATTCTTTAAGTTCGAAATTTCATGAATTAGTTGCATCTGTAAGAGCATGTGAACAGGTAACAGAGCAAACCAATAGTTAATAAAGCAAAAAAAAAAAAAAAATTGAATCACTGCTTCAGAATCACCCAACAAGTAAGAAGAGACTGAGAGATAACTGTTCAAGCTATCTTGAACATCTCATTATTTAAAAGTACCAAAAAAGCCCCAAGTCAAACCCCAAGACCAATCAACCAAACAAAATCTCTGCAAACCCCAGGAAGCAAGCAAATAAGAAAAAGAAACTTATTTGGGCATGACCCAAATAACAGGTTTGTCCTCTGTTAATAAAGCTATAATAACTTCAAAAGCAAATTAGTATGCACCACTTGGAGGAAATAAAGTAGTAATCAAACTTTACAAAAACATGCTTCTATTAGGCTTTTGTTTTGGGTAAGTACAGAAATGTATTTATCCTAAAAGATTTCTTTTCTTCTCATAAATTATCTATTTGGTTTTACACTGGCATACTTTTCAATGAGCTGTGATTTGAAATTTAGGTTTGGATTATAGAAGTTTCATGAAGCCTTTACAATATTATTACTGTTCATCAAAGCTATAGAGATTTGCTTGGAATTATCAACTGTTACTTTGATGGTTAATAGGAAATATTGGAAAGTTAATGTTTTTGCTTTATATTGTTCAACTGTCTAAAGTATAAATACTTAAAGATGTAAGTATTTCTATTAAAGTTTCCTTTCTATCAAAACAGTTGTAGCATTAACTATTTGAGTACTGGCAACTTTTGTGCTAAAAAAGGTAAAATAAAATTTTTTTTGTATTTAATTCAGTCCTAGTTTTAGATTTCAGACTACTGCTAGTTATTTTAGATTAGCACCAATCGATAGAAATATAATGCGATCTCCCTCTCCCAATTTTTTTGGGGGGAGGCAACATTTGTAATTAATTTTTCTAGTAGCCACATTAAAAAGAAGTAAAAAGAAACAGGTAGAATTAATTTTAATATATTTTATCTAGCTGAATATATCCAAAATATTATAATTTCTTCCTGTAATCAGTAAGAAAAATTAAGAAAATATTTTAAGTTCTTTTTTTATGCTTAAGTCAATTCAGACTAACCCCATCTCAAGTGATTGACACATATAATTAGTGGCTACTATCTTTTTCAGCAAATTTTTAGACATCTGTATTGGTTAAAGTTTAAATTGGCTCTATCTGTTACCTTTTCTTCCACTTCTAACTTTTGCATTAGAAAATCACATTTACTTATACAGAACTAAATAATCAATCTTAAACTTTTAAAGCATTCAGCAAGAATAATTCTCCTACTTTTATTTGAAACAACACTTTATTTTAAGTACTGGAAACAAGAAAAGATTATGTGACTTTTGTAATGATCTGAGTGTAACCACTATTTGATGTATTATTTAATGAGCACAAAGAGAAAATGTACAATATGATCAAAAGATCATCCATTGTTACATACAAAATAGTACAGATTTCAACTGTAATTTGCAGCAGGTGAAATGAAATTTAACTTCTTAAGACAAAAATCTCCAAGTTGTGAAAATTATAAAATTAAAGAGATCAAGTTAAAATAGGTAGAGGGTTGAAGTTTCTCTTGTTCTCTGAGTATGATGTTACTCGACCTTGTTTATTCCGCCCTCTAAAATTACTATTTAAACACCCTATATTATATTGTCACTTGAAAATTATCCACAACTTTGGTGATTTTTGATGAAACCCTTAGGCAAACCAGGGCACATATCTTCAGGACATCATATGACTTTCATTCCCCTTTTGTTAAACTTTCCTTCCAGATGTACATTTTGAAACATGTTTTACTGTATGCACATAGACTTATGTTTTTAGTTTAACATGCAATGGATGTCGTAAAACAATCTTCAAGCAGAGTAAGCCTTTGGTATGTAATATTTTGGATTATCTTATGGACCAAGAATTTCAATTTGTGTTTGAGTAAAACTGAAGAGAATTGTATTATTTTCCCCCTGATGGTGGTTAAAAAGAAAAAAAAGAAAATCAGATGTGAGTTTTAATACATAGATTCTGTGTTACTTTGTAATCATGTATGCCCAAAGTTAATTTTGTCATGTTATTTGCACCTGACCTAACCTGAAGCATGGAGATATACATGAAGTAAGCCCTGAGATGCAATGGCGCGCTCAAGAACTTGCCGATAATACACACCAGGCTTGAATCTGTGAGCTATTTAAGCAGCAAACTGGGGCTTAAAACCAGGTAGTTTGGCTCTTAACCATGACAATCATACCCCTTTCTTTTTCTAAAAAAAATATATTTTATTGATTTTTTATAGAGAGGAAGGGAGAGGGATAGAGTCAGAAACATTGATGAGAGAGAAACATCGATCAGCTGCCTCCTGCACACCCCCGACTGGGGATGTGCCCGCAACCAAGGCACATGCCCCTGACCAGAATCGAACCTGGGACCCTTCAGTCCGCAGGTCGACACTCTGTCCACTGAGACAAACCGGTCAGGGCGATCATACCCCTTTCAATAAAATTGGTTTTATTGATTGAAGCCCAATATTCTTTTCATGATATTTTGCATTATGTTATATGCAAATTTTAAAATAAATTAAATGGAACTGTGAACTTATTGACTTTTGCATCCCAGGATATAATGTCTGTAAAATGCAGGAGTCATTTAAATTTTAGGTAGAATGGAAATAATAGTTTTGGTACAGAATTCTTTTTGCTTTTAAAAAGGTAGAGGATGAGAAACTAATCAATAATACTGAGGGAAAAGGACTGTGTCCCTTTGGGCTATTCATATAGAAATCTGAGAAGTATCTGCAAATTAACTCATATTTTAACTATACTAAAACACTGGCTCTTATTTTTGGAGGCATTTTTGGATCGCTTCACAAGTCTGATACCAGCAAGGGATTTCTGTTCCATAAAAATAAATATGTATTCAAAAGTTCTGCAAAAGAGTTCACAGTTTCTATGAACTGTAAAAGACTATCTGCACTAAGAAATTTATTGAATCTTTAGGACAATTTAAGTTCTCCAAGTTTCGTGGTTTCTGGGTTAGGTTCTCTTAACATGTAGCCTAATATTATATACTTAGAAAATTTAAGTGATCTATTTTATTTCTAATATTTCCATTAAAACTATTTAGTATTAGTTTCACAATAACTCTTATATGGAAAAAGAAAAGTTCAAAATTAGCTTCCCCAGCTTTCTAATAATGTTGTTTAGGAATACACTTTCAATGGAAAAATTCCATTAATATGTAGTATCTATACATAAAGCATTCAGCTAGATATTAAAATTTCTTCAATACAAATCCATCAATAGACAGATTAACTAAACTTTCCCAAAGATGTTTTTAATTCCTTCTTCCTCTTGAGCATAAGAATAGGTGAAATAAATATGATTTAACTACTTTAAAAACAATAAATGAACTATTTCTTAAATTCTCTAATTGTGTATGCATATGGAAAATGGCTGGATCCTCAATCTCAACCTTACAAATAAATATCTTTAAGAAAATGATATTTCTTACAAAAGAAATATCATTGTTTTAGTTTAGTGTTGTTTCATAACCTTACCTCTTGATCTTTTTCTGCTTTTCTTTCTAGAGCCTCAAATTCATCCAAATCATTCTTTTCTTTTAATTTCAACTCCATTTCTTCATTTTCTTTTCTTAGTTTTTCATAGTCCAATACCAGATTATCATAATCAGCACGAAGTGAATTCAACTCACTTTCTAAGTTTTCCTGTGGTAAACAAAACCATATTTTCAAGCTGGAGAGAATTCAGATTATATGTTTGTTTACTTAACTAAAAATTTGGATCAGTCACATAAATTTAACCTTGAATCATTTGGTAATTTAAGCCATTCTCTTTTTCAGTATCATCCTAATGTTTTAGCTTGATCCACAGCAAAATAAAGGATTTGCATTTTGGTAAATTAGTTAACTTAGAATACACAACTACTTTGAAAGGGGTAGAATTAAAAAAAAAAAAAAAGACCATACAATCAAATGCTCTGCTTGTGCCTGTCTGGAAAAGTTCATCAGGAGTAGGAGATAGGGTGCATAATGGAAAATCCATCAGCTTTATTCCTAAGGAGCTTAAAGATCTGTGCTAAAATGTTTCCATTGAAAATGGCAAAAACCTAGCAGCGGTTAGAGTTTTAGAGATCAATAAGTAATACCTCTGTTTCACTCCTAATTCAAATCCACCTGAAAAATAAAATAAAATTCATAACCGCTGCTAGGTTTTTGCCATCCTCAACAGAGACCTGCTTCTGTTTTCTATACTTTTATGAGAAAGAGGTAAACTTTATCATACAAATCCATCAATGGGCAGATTAACTAAACCTTCCCAAAGATTTTTTAATTCCTTCTTCCTCATGAGACTAAGCACAGGTGAAACAAATATGAGTGAAAAAAAACAACAACAATCCACAATCAATAAAAACCAAAAACTAAGACCAAGGATTTTATAAAATCAACAAGCTCCTGGAGTATGCTTTAGGGACACAGAAGCACTTTACCAATAATACTTAACTAATTATAATAACTAATTTATGACTAATTACAGTAGTTAGCTAATAATAACTCCCAAGAAGGTTCCAATTTTATTCCAAAATTAACATGAAATTACTTTAACAAATACATATACAGAACTATATCTATTTCTTTGAACATTAGAAGCTGGAGAAGTAAACATGGACTCTACATTTACTAAGGTATTAAGGTATTCACTACAGGAGTCCTTATTCCTAAAGTTGTGATAAGACCAGATATAATGCAGTTACTTTTATTTTTTATTATTATTTGGCAACATTACCCCTCCCCGATGTATTACTGTACTATAGGCCTGAGAATTTTGACACTTTTAATATCAGCTTTTTTTTTTTTTTAACCCTTAGGTGATTTGCCAAGGCAAAACAGAAGAAAATAAATCAAAGATACCAAAATCTGCTGGTAATGGCCTGAAAGTTTTACTACCATACACTCATTTTATAAAGTTTTTAGCTTCTCTCTGGATGGCACAATTATCAGTTGGGAGTCTAATGAGTGAAGAAGACTTAATTAGAACCAACACTGTTACTGAACTTTAGTCAGAGCCATAATTTGCTATAACAAGAGTAAACACCAATAACAAATGACTTTAAAGAGTAAAAGTATAATGTTCCGTAAAATACATTCAAGTTACCTGACTTAGTAGCTTTGTTGCTGGATTCCACTCTATATCTGTTACTGTATCAAGGGTGTTACTGAAAACATCAGCCTCTGAACAGACAGCTGTTAATTAGGGGAAAAGAAACTTATACATAAATATGCTGGTAAGTTTCCTAAAACTCAAAGTATAGATTATTAAAAGAATTCTGATCAGATGTAATAAGCTCAAATTAGCTATTATATGTTCATAGCATGACTGCCAAGAATACATTAAAAACAGATGTGATTGTATATATTATTTTGTGAATTAAGATCACTGGCTAGAATATAATCATAAAATATAGGCACCTTAACACAATACAGGTAAAAAGAACAAATTCTGAATTTGCGATTTGATAACTGTTAAGCAGTTTTTTAAATGCCCCTAAAAATACTTAAAGTGTTAGGCATAACTTTGAAAATTTTCTGTGTAAATTCCACCTTTTTAAAATTAGCAACGTTTAAGGCAGATGTTATATGAATAGTAATTTAATTGGATAAAGATTAGAACAAAAACAATAAAAATATTTGTCTTATGGAGTCTAATGACAGTGCATCATTTTAAAAAGATCTGGAAATAGAAAACGTCTTATTATACACATTAACTGAGATATAATAAGTAAAGTCTCCCATCATAGAGATAGTTTTATAAAAAAGCACTCACATTCATCAATTTCTCCTACTGAAGTTATATCACTCCTTTGTCTTTTTGTTGTATTTACTGGCATATTAAACTCATTCACATAGTTTAAGTCCTTCATTTTGTTAATTTTGCCAGGGCACCAAGTGACTCTTCGTTTTATTTTTGCCTAAAGAGGAAAAAAAATGAAAATGACCTCCCCCAGATAATAAAACAGGGAACTAGTTTCCATTTTTAAGAATGATTGGCTTGGTAGAATTCTTATCAAGCCTAGTTTAAGATCTTAACAGCCTAAGGACATACTGAGATAAGAAAACATACTCAAACTTTTCAAATCAATGTGTAACCCCATCATAAATTGGATGAAACTATTTAAATTTTTTTTTAAAAAATTGGAATCTTTACTTATAACTTTCTCCGGGACTTAATTGAAAGAAATTGGGTAACACCTAATCCTTAAAGTAATCTGTGTTATGCAGAAGAGACGACTATGGCTGCAACCATCATAGCTACCACAAAAAGCACCTTTGGAAACCCAACTTGAAGTGGGAAGAAGCAGACAGGTGGCCCATTTGAATTTCCTCTCACAGGGCCCTTCACAATGTCAATTATCTTCCAAGTTGGCAAACTAATGCCTCCACCTGTGCTCCTGCTCTCATTTGTTCCTTTCTCTTGTGGTACTCTGCCCCCTTAATGACCTGTTCACTTGTCATTTTCACTAGGCTCCTTTCTCTCAGCTTTACAAATGCACAAGCCTCTGTTTGCTTTTGATTAAAACAAAAAACAAACAAAATCTTGATTCTTTACTCTCCTTAGCTACCATTTTCTTTCTGTTTCTACACCATCTTCCTCATTCCTTCAAAGAACCTGCCTCCTGGTTCTTAACCCAGTCAGTTAGCTGTCCTCACCACTCACTCCACTTTGCTGGTTTCTTTTCCTCTGCCCACCTCCTGTTTGTGGTCTTCCATATTTCATAGCTACCATTCTTCTCTTATCCCTTTACTAGTACAAGCATTATCTCATCTTATTTGATCCTCTCAACAATCCTCTATTACCACATCCATTTTATAAAGAAGATAAGGGTCCAAAAAGTTTGGAGAGTTGTGTACAATCTTACACCCAATTGGTGGCTGAGCCCATGCCTGTAACTTCAGAGCCTCTCCACTAACCACTCCATTGCATTGCCTCAAGATTTTCTGTATAATATAGATATTTGTATAATTTTTTTTGTATTTGTATATATTTGTATATATATCTGCATGCTTTCATGCTCCTACCACACAATATCTTTTTGCTTAAAATAGACAGTCCTTTCCTCAGCCTGCTCTGCAAAAGCTCAGTCATAAAAATCCTTCCCTTCAATGACTTTCAGCTCAAATCCATTTGCTCCCAAACCCACTCTTGGAGCTTGCCATTATCTGAAACTCATAAACCTAGACCTCCTACTCTATCTAAAGTTCCTATCCGTCCACCTCATTGATTCAGTCAATCCCATTTTGGCTATCAAGCATAAGAGGGAGCTCTATTCCCTTGATCCACTACTTTCTTCTTGCCAGCTCCCTCTTGGTTCTTATCTCATCATCTTAGATTCCATAGATGATCACTTCAATCGTGTTTTCGGGTCAACAGCCTCAAATTATTTGACCCATTATCTGTTCCTTACACCTACTCCAATCCGGTGAACACTCAAATGAATTACACTACCTCCTCCGCCTTTATCAGTCTCCCGAACGCTGTCAGAGCCACACAACCAAAAGTCTGGCTGCCAACATCATCTGGGTCTTTAATGCTGCCTGGCCACACTCCTCTCCACGTGGGCTTTCTTTTCCATTCCTTACAAAGGCTAAACTGTTCCAAACCCTTAGCATGTCTACAAATTTGTGTCTTTACCATCTCCTGCCACCACAGCATAAAAATAAACCTCCTATTTCACAAAGAAAATATAAGCCTAAATTTATGAAAGCATTACTTGCACTGAAGCCCATTCCTTCCTCTGTCCTCGTTATAATTAACAGGTGTTTCTCTAAGTCCAGACCTTCTGCTGTATTTAAGATCCCCTCCCTTTGGGCCATCTCAAACCACTGCAAGGTGGCTTTCACTCCCAACACATAATACAAATTGCTTTTGCAAATGAGCTTCTTGTTTCTAAATCCCAATTTTTTTTGGTCTACATGTATCTTATTTAACTTCTCAGTAGACTGTGACACACTGCCTCTCTGGAATAGTCTCTTCTCTCATGACCACATTCACTTGTTTCCTTAACTCTACAGCTTAACACTAGGCTCATTATGGATTCTTCTTCTCTGCCTTTAGCAACTTTATATCTATAAAGTTGGGGTTTTGTCTTTGGCCCTCTGTTCTTTTCATTCTCAACATGCTCCCAAAGCAAGCTCATCCATTCACAAGACTTTAATTAGAATCGATCTGTAATGTTTATGTCCAAATGGCTATCTCCTTCTCAGATCTTTCACTTGATTTTCATACACTTGCATTTTCAACTACCTGACACCTTTAACTGGTGAAGTCTCAAATCCAAACACTGAGCAGCGTCACTGCTCTATATTCCTTGACCCTTAACGCAACAAGAACTGCTACCAGCTATCCAGTAAGCCTAGCAATGCCTGCAAGTCATTCTGGAAACCTCTTTCTCCCTTTCCCTGCCTCCCACATCTAAACAATCACAAACTCCTGTTGAGTCTCCCTCCCAAATAGCTCAATATTAGAGCCCATCCTTGTAGAGGCCCAATCAATCTGATGTGCACACCAGCTCTACACCTTTTTAAAATGCAATTCCGATCATGTTACCTACAAGGCTTTGTTCCTGTCCTTAGCATAACGTAATGTTTAAAACTTTCAATGTGGTTTTAAATGCCCCTGCCACCAGAACATTTTAAGTCCAAGAAACATGTTTTTTCACAACTTCTGCACATACAGATGTCTTCCTGAACCACTCATATCTATACCTTTCACTGGGCTATTTCCTACTCATCACTCTCAATACATAGTTCCTGAAGTCTTCTATATACTTAGCATGGTAATTTGAATATAACGTATATTAATAATAACCTTAATAGCAAATCTTTATTGAGGGTTTGCTGTATGGAATAATAAGCACATTCTATAATACTTCTCACATCAATCCTATAAGGTGGGGATCAGGCTGTCTCACTGATTAGGAAACTGCAGCAAAATTTATAATAATAAAAGCATAATATGCTAGTTAGGACAGATGTCCTTCCGGATGAAGCCGGGGCTATGAAGAAAGCCTGGGTCCCGGGTGCCAGAGGGAAGCTGGCGCTGGCAGCCGGGGGAAGGAAGGCCTATTCTTGCACGAATTTCTAGCATTTAAGAAATTGCTTGCCCTGACCGGTTTGGCTCGGTGGATAGAGCATTGCTTAAGGTCCAGAGTTAGGGACTGACAGAATTGGGATTCAAATCCAGACAGTTCAGTCCAGAGGTCATTCTCTTAACTATTACATAACCAGGGCCCAAAAATACCTGTTGGACAAAAGATACCCAACTATTCTAGTATAAACAAAAAGAACACATACTAGAAGCCAGAATTCTGATCACTATGTTAACTTATATTCTAGTTCAATTTCCCTGAGATGAATATTTGTTTAAAGAGAAAATACTCCCTCTCTAGATGTCTGTGGCTCCCAATCACTTAATCAATTTCATAAGAAGCACATTTTAAATCTATTCCTTGACTATATACCAGACTTCTTGATTGCTATCTCTGTATGTGGGAATCAGGAATGTGTACAGGCAAATACACAAAAAGTTCCGAGTTTCTTGAATATACAGTATCAAAGGATAAGGAATACATAACTAGAGAATAAACATATAGGAATGCCAATTCTATTCTCTATATACTAAGTTTAAGCTGTCAACATTTACGCTTTTACCTTTAATTCCTGTTGTGATGTGAGGGAAGAAGAGGTCACCAGCATTCGTGTTAAGTTTTGAATTTTCTCAATCTGCACTTTTTGAAGCAGATCTTTTTCTTCCAAAAGTTGGGCCAATTGGTCTTTTTCCATTGCCTGGGCCCGAGTCTCTGTAGAAACCTATAGAATATAATATTCGGTTATATTAATGAATATGGCTAGGTTTTAGAACCTTGAAAAGTAACCTAAAAGAATATAAATTTTTGTGAACCATGAACATTTTAATGTTATTAAACTAAAATATCCTACCTGCAGAACACCAATATGCAGTTACAACAGTTTCTCAATCTTATAATAAAATCAGTAAAATATACAGTTTTTCTCATGTGCATACTCCATATGCCATGTATAAGATTATAACAATGCTGTTAGAGAAATTCTATTTAAACAAAAAATAAATAAAAGGGAGGGTGAGAGAGAAACATTGATTAGAAACATCTACAGCCATCTCCTGCTGGAGATCAAACTGGCAACCTGTGCATATGCCCTGACCAGAGTTGAACCATGACCTCTTGCTTTATAGGTCGATGCTCAACCACTGAGCTACTGGCTGGGCTAGAGCAATTCTATTAATTGCCTGAAAATATATAAATAACAGGCAGAGAAGTCAGAAAAGTAGAGACCTGAATACCTACAGCAAAAGAAGAGATGTTCTTTTAAGACTACCACATGGTATCTTAGAGTTCATCTTTTAAAAGATCACCAGGGGACCATAATGATTAGAACAAATAAATTACAAGTGATTATGCTATTTTATTAGATTGACTAGAGGCCTGGTGCATGGATTCGTGCACCAGTGGGTCCCTCAGCCTGGCCTGTAGGGATCGGGCCGAAACTGGCAGTCCAATATCCCCCAAGGGGTCCCTGATTGCGAGAGGGTGCAAGCCAGGCGGAGGCACCCCACTGGTGCATGAATCTGTGCACCTGGCCTCTAGTATGCATATAAGATCTTTGGTTATTCTCTTCCCGCCCTCCTCCCTCCCCGCTTTCCTCCGAGATTCATCAGTCTGTTCCATGTTTCCATGCCTGTGGTTTCCGTTTGTGTTGAGCATCTTCCCCCTGGTGGTCAATGCACATAATAGCTACCTGCCGGTCAGCTGGTAGCCTAGGCCCATGGTCATCAAACTGTGCCTCGCTAGCCACATATGGCTCTTTGTCCCCTTGAGTGTGGCTCTTCCACAAAATACCATGT